AAAAAAAAAAAAAAAAGAAGAGCCCTCTGGTAGCTTGTGGGGACTAATGAAGGGAGCCACAAGGGGCTATCAAGCCCGGTCACACCACCCATGAGGATACCCAGACAGGACAGGGACTGGGCCAAGGTAGAGACAGATTTGGGAGACTGGGTAGTAAGGGCTAGGAAGCCTGGGCCTGGCCCTTGGAGGAGGGTTTCTGAGGAAGGACCAGGCCATGAGGCCTGAACTCTGCAGTGAAGGCCTGGGACGTTGCCTCTTGGCAGCATGGGGCTCCTTGCTGGGCAGCTTCAGAAGGAGGGTAGAAGCCAGTGCCACATACTTCCAAAGTGGAACTTCTTTGGCTCTGTCCTTTAAAAACTTGACTCAGAACCTCCCTAATAGGGATCCTTTGGCTCTGGGCAATTTCTAGATATTAGCCACTTAATACACTTTATTTATTTATTTGAGTTGGAGTCTTTGTCACCCAGGCTGGAGTATAGTTGTGCCCAGCATTACTTTGTTTATTGAAAAAAGAGGCCGGACTCTGTGGCTCAGCCTGTAATCTCAACACTTTGGGAGGCCAAGATGAGTGGATTGCCTGAGCCTGCGGGTTCAAGACCAGCCTGGGCAACTTGGTGAGACTTTGTCTCTACAATAAATAAGTAAAAAAATTAGGCGGGTGTGGTAGTATGGGCCTGTAGTTCCAGCTACTTGGAAGGCTGAGGCAGAAGGATCGCCTGAGTCCAGTGGATCCATGCTGGGGTGGCCATGAGCTTGCCACTGCACTCTAGCCTGGGCGACGGAGTGAGACTCCAACTGAAAAAAAAGATAAAAGAAAAAAGTGGTAGCCTTTAATTATGTCCCTAATGTGCATTCCTCTTTCCAGAAGGAAGAGGGAAGGAAGAAAAACCAACATTTCCGAGTGCCTTTTATGTGCCAATAACAACAAACACACAACAGCCATAGCGCTCACTTTTTTTTTTTTTTTGAGTTGGAGTTTCACTCTGTCACTCAGACTGGAGTGCAGTAGCCGCTCACAGCCACTGCAGCCTCAACCTGCTGGGCTCTGGCGATCCTTCCGCCTCAGCCTTCCAAGTGACTGGAACTACAGGCATGCGCTACCATGCCTGGCTAATTTTTTTTTTATTTATTGTAGAGATGAGGTCTCGTCAAGTTACTCAGGCGGGTCTCAAACCTGCGGGTTCAGGCAATCCACTCACCTCGGCCTCCCAAAGTGCTGGGATTATAGGCTGAGCCACCGAGCCCAGCCAGCTCTCACATTTTTACGTGCTTCCTTTGAGCATGACAATGAGCTAGACACTTAAGTTATCTCTGAATCTCCTCAGTGACCCTGCCTGGCTGGTACTTTACCAGTGGGTGGCACAGCCTGGCCTCCTAACCTGCATATCCCATGAACGGTGTCTTGACTGCATCCTGCTTTTCAATTCCCCCTCTCTGACTCTGAGGTGTTGAGAGTGGCAACTGGTTTCTGGTAGGAGAGAAGGAGACCCCTGGGCTTTGTACCACCCAGCTTGCTGATGGATGCATAGTGTCCTGGAAAGTATTGTTCCCAGGCTCTAAGTTTGGGGAAGTCCCAGGCTTCCAACTCATCACTACATCCCACCCCACCTCCACAGCCCTTTCCCAAGGTCAGAGCAGAGAGCCATATACCCAGAGGAACAGGCAGATATCAGAAACTTCCAGAAATTTCTGTGGGCAGTGGGAGGAGGTGAGGGGTACTGTTTTCTGGATAGTGCTCTCTACTAGGAAGAGTAGCCAGGAAAAAGGAAACTTTAGGTCACTCCCTAGACCTGAAGCCCTGGGACCCCTATGTCCCCAAAGACTGACTTCCTTCTTTCCTCTCAGAGAGTTCCTGACAACTGGAATCTAGAAGGAGAACTATGAGTTCACCTTTGGCTTCCCTTAGCAAGACCCGGAAAGTGCCCCTGCAGTCGGAGCCTGTGAATCCTGGGTAAGGAGCCAGCCTCAGGGATCTTTGTGTCTCTGCCTCTGTCTCCTTGATCCTTCTGTGACCAGAGGTTAATGACTCCTAGTGGTTCGAGGAATACAAAGCAGAGCTAGATAGCTTTCCCTGACCACCTTCATTCTCTTGATACCTTCTTCTGGGGCACCCGCTTTGTGTTTAAGCACAAATAGGATTGTGCCTTTAGTAAGGTATGAGCTCTGTGAGAGTGGCTCAGCGTGTGTCTCTTCATTCACTATTCATTGCTCAATTCTGTAGATACTGGTGGTACACGTATTCCGAGCCAGGCCCCGTGCTGGGCTCTTAGTAAAGGGAATCTTTTGCATCTGTTCAGCACTTACGTCTTTTTTTTTTTTTAATTGTAGAGATGAGGTCTCACCAAGTTGCCCAGGCTGGTCTCAACCCCCCGGTCTTGGGCAATTCTCTTGCCTCTGCCTCCCAAAGTGCTGGGATTACAGGCATGAGCCCCCACACCCAGCCACTTACATCTTTTCAAAGTATTCTTTGCCTCTCTGTTTCTTCTCACTCTACTAAATGCCATTTTAAGTTGTTCTAAGGTCAAGGAAATCCGGAATGGTTAAGTGACAGGCCTGGGTTCCCACAGCCGTTAGGAGCAGAGCTGGGGCTGGCTTATGGGCTTTCCAAACTTTGTAGTCTTACCACCAGACATTGCCCTTCAGCTCTTCCCCATCTTTCTCCATTGGGAAGAGTCAGACACCTCAAAACCGGGCTCTTGGCTCACCCCAGGCGGGAGGGGATTTGGGGCTAGAAGTTCTCAGGAGGCAGAAGCCCAGCCTCCATCTCTTAGCCTTGGCTGGGCCTTATCCCTGGTGATGCTCTAGGGGGTTCTAACTTGCATTTCTTCCTTCTCCTTCCTGCCTGGGATTCCAGGAGGCGAGGGATACGCATCTATGGAGATGGTAAGTGTGGGCCCCGGCTTCATGTCCTCTTCGCTGCCCAGTGGCCTGTCACCATGTTTCCACAGCTCCCCACCACTCCTCCCTGGGGCTGGGTTTCCCTCCTGGTGGCTCAGATAAGGAGGCGCTACACCCTAGCAGAGATGTCTTCACCAACATTTGAACTCCTCGAGCCACTGTGGGGCTGGCGGTGGGTGCCTAGAAACTATGCAAGGACTGAGAGATGACCCAGCCCAGGGGTCTGGGCCCCGTCCCCTTCCCCCCACAGCCTCCTCCAGTCTGTTAACAACCTTTTCTTCCAGAAGGCCTGTCTTTGCATTGCTCCCTGATTCCTGCAGCTCAGGCCTTTGGATCTCAACCATACTTCTGCCCCCCTGTGGTGCTGGCATTGGCTACTCAGATCCCCTCAGGAGCTGGGCTGGGAGAACTCCAAGAAGAGGCCCATTCTGTTGGATCCTTGCTCCCCAGGCTCCTGGGTTTTCTGTCCTCCTACTATGGGGGGACAGTGTCCAGAGCCAGAGCAGTGACCTAGGCATCCCTGTCTGCAGAAGATGAGGTGGATATGCCAAATGATGGCCACGGCTCAGAAGACAGGATCTCTGCCCCTTCCTGCTATGGCAGCATAGGTGCTCCTGTGAGTCGGGAAGGTGAGAGCACAGGCCCGAAGGGGCCTGGGACCTAGCAGTGGAGGGGGTCTGAGAGAAGGGGTGAGGCCCGGGGAGGGATGGTACCTACTCTTGTGTGCTGCATCTGAGGCAGCTGCTCCACTCCTGGCTGACCGTGGCCATGCGCCTGTACCCCCAGACCTGTCCAGGACCTGGCTTGGCATAAAGCCACACAGGAACCCCCCCTAAGCTCAAGGAGTCTAGCTAAACCCCAGGCCAGGCTGCAACTGGAGCCTCTGGAGTGAACCTGGCTGGGGTCACCATCATGTGTGATGTCAGTGGGTCCAGGATTCAGAGTCAGAGAGGGATGAAGGGCCTGAGGGTAGAGCTCAGCCCATGGCTATCTACTTCCTGCTTCCACAGGGGCCCTGGAAAGGCCCCAAATCCCGTAGATAACTACTTAGCCTGGGCCACACCATCTGTAAGGGGCTACAGCAGTGCTCAGCTCATGGAGGTACCTCAAGTGGGAGGGGACTCATTGGGATAACTTTCCAGAGGAGGGAGTATTTTGCAGCTCGATGAAAGGGGGAGATGTGGGCAGGCAGGGATGAGCTGTGTGGAGGGCTAGGTGGGATCAAGAATATGGAATGGGAGTCTGGGGAAGCTGGCGATGAAGTTAGAACTTTCCATGAACTGCGGTATCTTGTGTCTTTCTGTCGCTGTTTCCTCCTCTGTGAAGTGGGAATGGATACACCCAGGACAGTGTGTTGAGAGGAGGATTCAGTGAAATGCTACTCAGTAGAGGGTCCCCAGCCAGTGCTTGTCACACAGGAGTGCTCAGAGTGGTGGCAGCTGATCAGGAGGTCAGCCACAGGGAAGAATCTGACGATTCTCCGCCAACCCCCTCCATTTCACTGGTTGGGGAATCCAGGTGGAAAAGAGACAGGAAGGGCCTGGCCCAGGGTCCCACAGCCATTTAGACACAAAGTCAAGATCTCCCACACCCCAGCTGGGGACATTTTCAGTAGTAACCACCACAACAAGCTCCTCCCCTTAAAAGAGCTACTTTAAAAAGCCAGGTTTGGTGGCTCAGCCTGTAATCCCGCGCTTTGGGAGGCTGAAGTGAGTGGATTGCCTGAGCCCGCGGGTTCGAGACCCACCTGAGCAACTTGGCAGACCTCATCTCTACAATAAATCAAAAATCAGCCGGGAGTGGTAGCACACGCCTGTAGTTCCAGCTACTTGGAAGGCTGAGGCGGAAGGATTGCCCGAGCCCGGCAGGTCGAGGCTGCAGTGGCTGGGAGCGGCCACTGCACTCCAGTCTGGGTGACAGAGTGAGACTCCAACTCAAAAAAAAAAAATTAGTCGGGTGTGGTGGCGTGTGTCTGTAGTTCCAGCTACTTGGAAGGCTGAGGTGGAAGGATCACCTGAGCCCAGCAGGTTGAGGCTGTCGTGACTGTGAGCCTGCTGCTGTACTCTAGCCTCCAGCCTGGGCAACAGAGTGAGATTCCCCCCCCCCCAATCGGACCGGGTGTGGTAGCTCATGCCTATAATCCCAGTACTTTGAGGTGAGAGGATTGACTGAGCCTACCTCATCTCTACATAAATCAAAAAATTAGCCGGGTATGGTGGAGCATGCCTATAGGTCCAGCTACTTGGAAGGCTGAGGCTGAAGAATCGCCTGAACCCAGTAGGTCAAGACTGTGGTCGCCGTGAGCATGCCACTGTGCTCCAGCCTGGGTGACAGTGAGAGACTCCACCTCAAAAAAAAGAGCCGCTGATGTCTTCGCCCTACTTCTCCCTCATCTTCCTCTATTCTCTACTGCCAACTGGTATCTGTCTCTACCAAGGTCACAAGTGAGGACTTGCCTGTTCTGTTTCACTTCTCTGCCAACAGTGTCCTACGCTGTCCACTGCCCCTCCTTCTCAGGAGCCCCTGGCTCTTGGCTACAGAGCTGCTGCCTTCCCCTCACCCTCTTTTTCCAGGCTCTTGTCTCTTGGCTCTTGCCACCAGCTCCTCCTTTCCTTCCAGCTTTTCAGTGTGACGTCCCACCTGCCTGGGTTCTCCTCTCTTCCTCTCTGCCTCAGTGAGCTCACCTGCCTTCTATGTGCAGACACTTCCCAAATGTCTATGTGTCAGTTAGAATGCATTTGACTACAAAGAAAAACTTTCCTCAACTAGCATGAACATTAGGGAAGATTTTTTTTTTTTTTTGAGTTGGAATCTCACTCTGTCATCCAGACTAGAGTACAGTGGCATGCTCCCGGCCACCACAGCCTCAACCTGCTGGGCTCCAGCGATCCTTCCGCCTCAGCCTTCCAAGTAGCTGGAACTACAGGCGTGCACTACCATGCCCAGCTAATTTATTTTTGATTTATTGTAGAGATGAGGTCTTGCCAAATTACCCAGGTGGGTCTCAAACCCACGGGCTAAGGCAATCCACTCACCTTAACCTCCCAAAGCGCAGGATTACAGGCTGAGCCACCGAGCCCGGCTGGGAAGATTTTTTTACACCACATACCAAGAAGTTCTAAGGAGGCAGCTCCAGGGTTGTTAATTCAGTGAGTCAAAGACACTGTTAAGAGCTCAGGTTTCTCCATCTTTCCACTGAGCCAGGGTTAGCATGTCAGCTCTGTGTGGTCGCACCATGGCTGCAGTTCCTGCTTCACACACAGGACAAAGTCCAGGGGAAGAAAAGGGACTGTTTCTTCCAGTGTCTTTCTCTTTTTTTCTGTTCCCAAACTTTTATTTTGAAAGTTTCTTCCCATCCAGGAAAGTTGAAATAGTAGTATAGTGAATACCCAAACATCTTCCTTCTAGATTCCACATTGATGATGTCACTGTGTGCAGTGGTTCACATCTGTAATCCCAGCTACTCAGGATTGCTTGGGCCCAGGAGCTCAAGTCCAGCCTGGGTAACATAGCCGGACACCGTCTCTACCAAAAAAAAAAACCCCCCAATAATTGATAAGATTTCACCACATTGTGTTCTCTCTCTCCATATGCACATATATATGAATATAAATGTGTATTGTTTAGGTGGACCATAAATAGTTTTTGGTTTTTTTTTTTTAGTTGGAGTCTCACTCTGTCACCCAGACTGGAGTGCAGTGGCCGCTCCCGGCCACCACAGCCTCAACCTGCTGGGCTCTGGCGATCCTTCCGCCTCAGCCTTCTAAGTAGCTGGAATTACAGGCGTGTGCTACTGTGCCCGGCTAATTTTTTTATTAATTGTAGAGAACGAGGTCTTGCCAAGTTGTCCGGGTGGGTCTTAAATTCACAGGCTCAGGCAATCCACTTGCCTCAGCCTTCCAAAGTGCTGGGATTACAGGCTGAGCCACTGAACCCAGCCCAGAAATAATTTGCAGATATCATGACATTTTACCTGTAACTACTTCAGTATGCATCTCCTAAGAATAAGAAAATAATCATAGCTGAGCTCGGTGGCTCAGCCTGTAATCCCGTGCCTTGGGAGTCTGAGGTGAGTGGATTGCCTGAGCCCGCAGGTTCGAGACCCACCTGGGCAACTTGGCAAGACCTCGTCTCTACAATAAATCAAAAAATTAGCCGGGCGTGGTAGCGCGTGCCTGTAGTTAAAAAAAAAAAAAAGAAAATAATCATAATACCGTCATCACACCGAAGAACATGAGTTCTTCAGTAATATTCTCTAACATCTCTCTCGTGTACACTCAGATCTCCCCACTGTTCCAAAATATCCCTTAAACAGTGATTTAGGGATACATCCTGACCTAGGATGTAGTCAAGAGTCATGTGCTGCATTTGATTGTTATAACTTTGTAAAACCCTCTTTTTTTTTTTTTTTTTGAGTCAAGGTCTTACTCCGTTGCCCAAGCTGGAGTGCAGTGACATGATTATGGCTCACCACAACCTCCAGTTTTGGGGCTCAAGTGATCCTCTTGCATGAGCCTCCCAAGTAACTGGGACTACAGGCATGCACTACCACATGTGGCTAATTTTTTAATTTTTTTGTAGAGATGAGGTCTCGCTATGTTGCCCAGGCAGGTCTCAAACTCCTGGGCTCAAGTGATCGTCTTGCCTTAGCCTCCCAAAATGCTGGGATTTCAAGTGTGAACCACTGCACCTGGCCATTTTTTAAAAAATGGCATGGACTTTTTGAAGAGTTCTGACCACTGTCTTATTCAGCACCCTACATTCTGGAGTTGGTAGTTTGCCCATGAGGGTGTTTGCCCACTCCTCTATGTGTTGTTTTGCTCGCAAACTGGAGGCTAGATTTTGAGGTCTGATTAGATTGAGGGTAAAATTGCTGACAGTACTTTAGGGTGATGTGGCCCATATGTCATACCACTTACTCATACATCTTGAACAAATTACTTAATCCCTGTGTGCCTCCATTTCCTAAAACAACTCATTTACTTCATGGGCGGATTTTGAGGATTACATGAGTTGCTCTGTATAAAGTGTTTAGAACAGTCCCTATTATGTTAGTGATAGCTGCTGCTAGTTCTTTTATTTCTACTCCTGCGGATCTCCCTCCCACTCCCTTTGACCCCTATACCTCAGCCTCAGCTGGAGGTCTGGGCTCTAGAGAATTTGTCTGCTTGACAGCCCCTGCGTTCCATGACCCGGATCTGATAGCCTCCATGACAAGGAAGTTGCAGGACCTGGAGCGACAGCTGAAGGCCCAGAATGATGAGATACTGTCCAAGGTGGGACCCCAGGTGGGGAGGCCAGGGATGTCAGCAGTTGGACCAGGGCAGGTGAGTTCTAGGACCATTTCCCCCACGGAACTGCCCAGTTCAAGGGCCAGGTGTGACCTGGACTGATCTGGTCCCTGTGACCCAAGGTCTTCTCAGCTGAGCAGGGACCAGTAAACCCTGGACTGGGTAGAGCAGTGGATTGTTGAGTGAGGATGGCACCCACAGCTGCTGGAGCCCTCGCGTGTGGGCCTTACCTTTCCCTGCCTCAGAGGAACCACAAGGGTTATCTGAGGTACAGGAGCAGTGGCTGTGCCTCAGGGTGGCAGAGGCTTGATCCTCCCCGGGGTCCCCACATAGCCAAAAATTCTGTATCTTCCCATCTGGAAGGGGCTCTGGAAGCTGCAGGCCTTGTGCTCACCCTGTGTTTTGTGCTTCAGGATCGGAAGATATCGGCCCTGGAGGACCTGGTGCAGGCCCTCCAGCAACACCCCGGTACGAGTCTCTCTGGGAGGGCTGATCCACCCCCGCAGGTCAGGCACCTCCCCTGGGCCCATGGCTCTTGGAAGCTTGGACAGTGACTTCTGGCATCAGGGCTCCAACAGCATCAAACTGACTGTTAGGTGGGGTCTGCGCAGCAAAGCTTAGTAAGGGGCAGTCACATAGTCAGGACAGTGCTGGAGTCACTTGGTACCCTCCTATGTGGGACTGAGTCCCATCTAAAGCTTGGAAGACACAGCTCCAAGGGAGTGGTAGCCTCCTGAGAGTCAGTCAAGGTACCCCCACAGGGTCGGGGCAGAAGCCAGAGATATGGGAGGCCAAAAGGAAATTCCCAGGGATCCCCAGTATAACTTCTTCAGGTGACCCTCAAGGCACAGTTCTGGTCAAGACCAGAGGTGATTCTGCTGGAGTAACTAAAGCCTGTCCCTGTCTTTCCCTGAAGTCGAGGCGACCCTGCAGCGGCAGGAGGAGCTGGAGACCATGTGTATGCAGCTGCAGCGGCAGGTCAGGGAGATGGAGGTGAGAGGCAGGCCCCGGGGGAAAAGGCAGCCAGCAGTCCCCAGCTCTGGGCATTCTGCCCCTCAGGAAATGGGTCCGAGCCCAACTCTCTGGGCCCCTTCTCCCCATATCTCACCTGGGGGCCCTGCCCTGTGTTTCTCTGTTTAGCACAAACCCAGAATTTAAAGAGCCAGGGGGTGTCAGGTGCTGGGACACACCTGTCCTTTTGAGCCCGAATCAAACGCTGAATATGCCCTTCCTTTGCTTAGTAGACCTCATGGCTCCCACTGGGCTTAATTCCAAAATCCTTATCATGGCCTCTGTGGGCTAGCCCCTGCCTGCCTCTTCAGTCTTGCCTTGAACTCTTCCCTCTAGCCATGGGGCCCTTCCTCTGGTTATTTGACCACATCGAGCTATTTCCCAGCTTAAGACCTCAGCTCGTGCTGTTCCCTCTGCTGAAATGTTTTCTCCCACTCCCCCGGGTGAGTTTTCACTCATTCTCGGTCATTTCCTCAGGGGCCCTCCCTGACTTCTGACCAGGGCAGGTTATCCAGTCTGTCCTATGCTTTCTTAGTGCCTCATCTCTCTTCCCCTGTGGGACTGTGAACTCCACAGGGAGGGATCCCTTTCCTCCTGTTTGTCACTGTGTGCTGGGCACCTAGGAATGAATTGGTCAAGGCCATGCCCTGTCGCTGGCTGTGACTTCTCATTCACCTGGTGGCTCGGCTAGCCCAGTCACTGTTCTTCATCCACTCACACAACAAGGGAACTGGGGGACACTGGACACAAGGAGGGATCCCAGGCATGCCTGTGTCCTCAGTACCCCACGCCCTCCACTGGCCCTGCCAGAAGTTTTGCCTGGTTCCCAACCTCTCTCCCTCTCCACAAAGAGTTGGTTTCCAAAGCCCCAACCTAATTTAAGACCACAGAAGCAACTCCCCAGGTGTCAGCTGCAGCCGACAGTCCTTCCCACTCCAGGACTGTGCATACCTGGGGCTGTAGGGAAACACAGCTGCCCCTGAGCTCCTGCCAGGGGTTGAGGGCCGTGCCAGAGCCTTAGGGGGCATGGCCAGCTCATGCTTCCACATCAGCTGCACACTTTTTTTTTTTTTTTTTTGAGTTGGGGTCTCACTCTGTCGCCCAGACTGGAGTGCAGTGGCCGCTCCTGGCCACTGCAGCCTCGACCTGCTGGGCTCTGGTGATCCTTCTGCCTCAGCCTTCCAAGTAGCCAGAATTATAGGCATGCGCTACCACGCCCAGCTGATTTTTTGATTTATTGTAGAGATGAGGTCTCGCCTGCCCTGGTGGGTCTCGAACCCGTGGGCTCAGGCAACCCACTCACCTCAGCCTCCCAAAGGCGCAGGATTACAGGCTGAGCCACCAAGCCCGGCTTGCAGCACACTTATTACTTGGTGAGTTTAACTGAACTCATGCAGAGGGTCCGTTGTGTGTCAGGTCCCCTGATGCACTGAGGTAGAATGACTAAGACAGACATATCTCTGTCCACATGAGGCTGCCAGTCTGGAGGTGGAGACAGAAAGGAGCACAGATACATAAGTGCAAAGTGCTGTGAAATAATTAGGTGGGTGACACAATAGAGACAAGTTGGGGGTGACACTGGATGTGAGATCTGAAGGATGAGGGGGTGGGTTGAGGGTAGAAGGATCCAGGCCAGAGAAAGGAAAGGTACCACCTCCCACCATGTAAGCTTGGCTCGTGGCTGATGGTTGTGAGAAAAGACAGAGGAGACCAGAGGGGCCACGTCACATGGCAGTGCCCATGTGCCAGGGGATGCTGTTCTGAGAAAATGGGAAATGGGTGGGAGGCTTCGGGGTAAGGATTGGCGTGACAGAGAGACCACCCTGCTGTGTGGGAAGCAGGTGGCAAGGGTGGAGAGAGGATGGGGGAAAGCAGGCAGACGCATCCTTGGGACTGTCTAGGGGAGGGACAATAGTGGCTTAGACTGAAGCAGCAGGAGATGGAGCCCACTGAACAGGATCAAGGCCATGCTAGAGGGGCCCCCACAGGCCTTGCAGGGAGGTGGGGGCAGGGAGCCACTCATGGGCAAAGTTCATTTTGAGCTGTCTTGGATATCCAAGTGTGCAGAGTTGGAAATGTGAATCTGGAGCTCAGAGGCGGGATCTGTGTTAGATGCAAATTTGGGTTCTGGCTGTATGTATTTGGGAGTGGATAGGAACCCATAAGGGAGAGCGTGTAGATGGAGGTGGGCTCTGGGCCTTGCACATGTCATAACCAGATGGGAATGGGGAGCCAGCAAAGGAAATGGAAAAGGAGCACCCCCCAAGGTAGCAGGAAAACCAGCAGGTGTTGAAAGAGATGAAGACAGAAATGTGTCCACTGGGTTTTGCAATGGGTATGTTGGTGGTGGTGGTTTCAGAAAGGTGGAGGGGAAGGGCAGTTGGAGTGGGTTGAGGAAAGGAGGTGGTATATGGAAGTGGCACCAGGAAGTGTATCCAATTCAGTTTTCCTGTGGCAGAGGGGACGTGTGGCCCGGGAAGCTGACAAGTGGGTCACAGTCTCTTAGCCCTGCAGAGCAGAGTGTCCTTGCCTCCTCCTCACGCTCAGGCCAGGCCCATATGGTTGCCCACAGCCAGGGAGGCTAACCTTACTGAGTTCTAATTTGGGCCAGGCACTGTATGCTGAGTACTTGATGTGAATGATCTGAGTTCTCCTCATAGGCTTATGCGGGCAGGTGTCATCTCAGTTTTTCAGAGAAGGCTGAGGCTTTAGGAGGTGAAATGGTTTTCCAAGGTCACAGCCAGGAAGTGGCAGGATCTCCCAGCCCATCCCCTCTGTCTAGTGGGCTGTAGGGGTCCAGTCGCCTGAAGTTGGGGGTTGGGCCAATGTTGCCCTTCCCCGGGAAAGGGACTGAGCTGACGGTGCCCCATGCCTTCCCCTCATTTCCCACAGCGCTTCCTCAGTGACTATGGCCTGCAGTGGGTGGGTGAGCCCATGGACCAGGAGGACTCAGAGGGCAAGAAAGTCTCTGAGAATGGTGAGAGGGACTGGATGACAGCCAAGAAGTTCTGGAAGCCAGGTAGAGTACGGGGTCCGCCCTAGGCCTCTCTTCAAAGGAGTTCTCCAGTAGCTGGGACAGCAGGTCGCAGAGGCCCATCTCACTCACGCCCTGCCTCCCAGCATGAGATGCTCTTGAGATAGCCCACACCTCACCCCCAGCACAGTGCAGGAAAGGCCTAGCTTTCATCCCTGACCACCTAACCTGCCAGTTTCTTTCCTGGTTCACTTCTGCTCTCTCTTGCTCATCTGTCAAAGGCTCCAGAGACTTAGAGATACAAGATGTAGCAAGACCTCATTTGCCCCATGACCATAGTCTTAAAAATGTCAGCCATCCAGAAGCTGTTGCCTTTAAAAAGCAGTCCCCTCTGTTCTGGAAGCATTCCTCAGTTCCCAGGTTGCACCCTCCCTGGACTCCATTTCCAGGTTCATTTATGGCTACTGAAATCCACCTGCTTCTGTGGGATACCACTTTGTTAACTCAACTGCTAGAGGGATGCCCCCCCATAATCCCCTTCTTCTATAGATTTGGGTCTATAGAACTGGCCATTTCTGAAAATCAGGTCCATTTTCTTTAAAGAATGGAAGTTATTACCCAGAACATACATCTTCAGGCCCTGGAGTCAGTCAAACTTGGGTCCATCCTGACTACCACCTATTGCAGGTGTGACTTGGGCAAGTGACCTCCGTTCTCTGGGCCTTGAGTCCTTCATCAATAAAATGGGGGTATGCTTTTCCCCTTGGAGTTACAAGGAGTAAATGAGATACACACAGAGCACCTAGCGCTCGCCTTTTTTTTTTTTTGAGTTGGAGTCTCACTCTGTCACCCAGACTGGAGTGCAGTGGCATGCTCCCGGCCACCGCAGCCTCAACCTGCTGGCCTCCGGCGATCCTTCCGCCTCAGCCTTCCAAGTAGCTGGAACTACAGGCGTGCACTACCATACCTGGCTAATTTTTTGATTTATTGTAGAGATGAGGTCTCACCAAGTTGCCCAGGCAGGTCTTGAACCCGCGGGCTCAGGCAATCCACTTACCTCATCCTCCCAAAGCACGGGATTACAGGCTGAGCCACTGAGCCCAGCTAGCTCTGGCCTTTCACATCACTGGCCCAACAAGTAGGAGCTCTTACTGTTTCCTGTCTTTGAAGACAGTGGCACTTTCATGGGAATATAAGCATAGCTCACAAGGGGACTAATTGGAAGATGACAACACCTTCTTGATTTGATATTTCCTGCTGGGTAAAAACCCAGACTCCAGTGAGAGTCCCACCTCCTGTTTAGGCCTGGGCTTTGGATAGATACCCCTAAATCTCAGGGTGCAGCACCTTCACTCTTGTTCTAAAAACATCATTTCCTATCTTTGCAGTATTTGCAGCTTTCAAAGCATTTTCATAAATAGCCTTGGTCACACGCCTCTTTGTGCATCCTCTTCCTTGTTTTTCTTTCTTTTTTTTTTTTTTTTTGAGTTGGGGTCTCACTCAGTTGCCCAGACTAGAGTGCAGTGGCCGCTCCCAGCCACCGCAGCCTCGACCTGCTGGGCTCCGGTGATCCTTCCGCCTCAGCCTTCCAAGTAACTGGAACTACAGGCACACGCTACCATGCCCGGCTGATTTTTGATTTATTGTAGAGATGAGGTCTCGCCAAGTTGCCCAGGCGGGTCTCAAACCCGCAGGCTCAGGCAATCCGCTCACCTCAGCCTCCCAAAGCGTGGGATTACAGGCTGAGCCACCGAGCCCGGCTTCTTTTGTTTTTTTCAACAGAGGGGATTTGATTTTGACTTGTTTTTCACTGGTGGCAGCTTTTCCTCCTGGGACCTCCCTCTCTCCAGGTGCCAGTCTACTCCTGCCCAGAGGCCCTCCAGTTCATAGCCCAGTTCCTGCTGGCCTTATGCTCCTGCTGATTTCTTTGGCTTTCCTCTGTTGGATGCCACTCCCTGCGGGCACTGGGGCAGAGGCTAATAGATGGCTGAGCCAGAGCATCTGAACTGAGCCTAAAGGGGATGATTCAAATGTTTTCAAGCCTGGGACTCTTGCCTTAGGGAGGGGGCCTGTTGGGCCCATGAAGGGGGCCCACAGGTTGGGAGGCCTTGCAAGGCTTGACCTCAGGCTGTATTGCTCATCCTGTCCACTCTGTTGGTACACTGAGCATCACCTGGGATGCTGTGCCTGGTACTTCAGGGTCTGTGGAGACATGAAAGGGACACCGCCATTGGGACGGAGAGCTCTGGTCAGCTCTGAGATTCTCACTTCCCTCATCCCTGGCCTCTTTGAGTTCCTCACTCCCCACTACCCTGTTCTCTGAGCTCCTCACCCTCCTACACTCCTCTGAGCACCCACTTCCTCCGCTCCTGCCTTCCTCCGTCTCTCATGCCTCTCAGCCAGCACCCTTCTTCCTCCCAAGTCCCATGCTCCTGAGTCTGGGTTGGAGCCACACTGCCTCTGCGGGCTGCAGCCTGCTGACTTGTCCCTGGGCCTGCCCTTCAGTCCTTCTGACCCCTTGGCCTGTGCCCCAGCAGGCCCGGTTCCTCCCCACCCTCACTTCTACCTCGAGCCTTTGTGTGTGCTCTACCCAGAGGTGCTTAGCCCTCTTTTCTCCCCTCCTACGAAGCTCAGGACAAATCCAGCTTCTGCCAACAAATCTGTCTTGAGTGCTTGCCCTGTACAGGCCCTGTGCTGCCTTCCTGGCCATGCAAGGGTGCCAGGTGGGATCGGACCCTGAATTGGCAGATCGCTGAACCTTTCTGAGACTATTTCCTCCCCTGTGAGATAAGAATAGTACTGACTGGCCCCTGGGGCCACTGAGTGGATCTAACGAGATGGCTCGAGTGGCTGATATGTAGCAATGAATAGTGACTGTTAGCTGTTGTCACTTAGTTGTCATCATGCCCCAAAGTGCCCAGTGCTTGTTACATATGCCAGGGCATGTGCATCTGCATGTGCCTAGGCCTGGGTTCACACTGGGACAACTGGCTGCACTGGATGAGGTGGGCACAGGGCGGTGTGGTGTTCAATGGCTAGGCCAGAGGGTGCTGTAGATGGGATCCAGCAGGCCTGAGTTCAAATCCTGCCAGTCACAGGCTGGTTGAGTGCTCCAGCACTGGCCAGACCCTCAGAGCCTCTTTTCTCTGCATTAGTTCCTCCAGGGAGCAGAGTGAATGTGGTAGAGTCCCCAGGCAAGGCCTGGCTTGCAGGTGTGTGGTAATAGCGGTTCCATTTCCTGTTGCAACAGTCTTTGCATGAGGGGGAGGGTCAGGTGCATGGAGGGTGTCATGAGAATGAGAGGCTGGTGCATGTGACCATTACAGCAGTCAGGGACAGCCACTCCCCCACTGATTATGTCAGGGTGTGGCCCTCCTCTGGGCTCCGAAGCCTCCAAAATGGCACTTAGCACATGCCATTGTCACTGTTTCCCACCTTGTCTCTTTCATTCCTGTCAGAGTCCGAGGAGGACATTGGCATCAGCATGATTCGCAGGGCCTAGCAGAGCATGGGTGCTCAGACATTGCAGGAGAGAGGGAAGGCAGGGTCCAGCCCTGCTTCTGGAGTGCTTGCTGTGGGCCAGGCCCAGGGTTGGATGCTCCAGCCCTGAGTTCAGGGGGTGCTCAGTGTGACTGGAAGGAAAACCAGCAAGAAATAAGAGCCTGTGACAAGGGCCAAGGGAGTGGGCCTAAGGGAACCCAACCTGGAGGGGGAAGAGGCTCCTGGTAAGGCTTCTAAGAGGTGTTGGCAGGAGCACTGGATTATGAGCCAGCGTATCTGGCGTTCCTCCTGGCTTGGGTCTGTCCCGTCTAATTGGGATTGGGCTTTTGTCGTCTGACCTCTGTAGGCCTCAGGGGTGGGGCAGGCATTGCATCAGATGATTTTTCCTATTATTTTTAGGTTTACCAATTTGTTTTTAAAGTAGTTAATTGTTAAAGAAAAGTAATGTTTCGATAATGTTCTGTTCTGGGCATTTTTCCTGGTAATCTCAGGGACTTGGAGGGACCCCATGAGGAGGTGGAGCCCCTAAGACAGTATGAAATGTAGGAGTGAGGGGAAGGTCAGCTGGGGCCTACCGTTTCAATGCCGCAAAGGCAACAGGAAACACATCTGTACCTCCTTGTACAGCCACAGCACCACTGCGGGGGAAGGAATTGGGTCCCCAGAGCCCTGACCTACATCCTGCTGCAGCCTGGCTGTTCTGGTGAAAAACAGCTTCCAGGATGCTCTGAAAGTTACTGGTGTATGGTAGGGTACACCCTCACGGATGACTTACTCCTGGCCAGGTCTCATCAAAGACAGCTTTCCTGCCTTCTGCCTTTCCACTCTGGTATCTGTCATGGCTGCTTCCCCCCACCTCCCAACACACACACACTCCATCTGTACCCTGAAGATGCACAGCTAAACATGCAACACATTTTTCAGGAGGCTACAGTGTTGTCAGCTTCTCACAAGGGTCTGTGACCCAGAAAGGTCTGTCCCCTATCTGTTCCATCCTGTAGCTGTCCCTACATCTTCCCTCATCACCATCCATCGCTACCCTGACTTCCCTCTCTCTTTTTTTTTTTTTTTTTTGAGTTGGAGTTTCACTCTGTTGCCCAGGCTGGAGTGCAGTGGTATGCTCACAGCCACCACAGCCTCGACCTGCTGGGCTCAGGTGATCCTTCCATCTCAGCCTTCCAGGTAGCTGGGACCACAGGCATGTGCCACCATACCCGGCTAATTTTTTGATTTATTGTAGAGACAAGGTCTCGCCATATTGCTCAGGCTGGTCTCGAACCCCTGAGCTCAGGCAACCCTCTTGCCTCTGCCTCCCAAAATGCTGGGATTACAGGCTTGAGCCACCACGCTTGGCCTGACTTTCCTCTCTTGATGGTACAGATAAGTGGGGAAAAACAGACTTGAGAGGCACCCTGGATCCAATCCCAGTGCCTCCTCTCACTTAGCAAGTGGCTTGGGGCAAGTCATTTTTCACCTCTGTTGGTCTGTTTCCTCAGGTGTAAAATGGGAGTAACCCCTGCCTCATAGCCTTCAGGTTGGCCGAAGGACCATTTGAACAACGTAGAGTTGGTAACTAGCTGACATGGCCAGAGTACTTGTTCCAAGTTGGCCCTTATGTGGTCATCTTTGGAGCCTTACAGCCATCCCAGGAGGCAGATACTATTGTCATTCCATTCTAGGAGGGAATGCTGTAACACAGAGCACTGAATGACTTGTCTAAGGTCGCATAGGTAGAAAAGGAGATGGAATTTGAACTTTGACAGCTTTGGTTTAGAGCAGGGAGCTTTGCCCTGGGCTTTTCAGCTGCCAGCCAAATACCTGACAGATCTGGGGTTAAATCCTGCTTCTGCCTCTTACTGCTGTGCAACCCTAGGCAAGCCATTTAACTTTCTCTAAGCCCCAGTTTCCTCTGAAAAATGGAGATGATTACAGCCTCTCAGCAGAGAGTTGGTAAGAGGTGGGAATGTGATGATGGATGTTAAACCCCTAGCACAAAGTAAGGCCTCAATATAAGATAGCTCTTGTTATTATCTAGTGTTAGCTGTCCCTCCTTTTCCCCAGGTGGTCACTTGAGACAACTAAGGCTACAGTCCAGCTTGGGAGGGGGCCACAGAAGCCAGGACTGCTAGGGCACCTGACAGCCATGAGGAGGCGGAGGCTCATGGGTGCCTATCCTCTTTGCCAGGGGACTCACTGGCACCCCCTGAGGTGGACTTTGACAGGCTGCTGGCCAGCCTGAAGGATCTTAGTGAACTGGTGGAGGAGGGTGACACCCAGGTGACACCAGTGCCTGGTGGGGCGCAGCTCCGTCGGCTTGAGCCCATCCCACTGAAGCTCTACCGGAATGGGATTGTGATGTTCGATGGGCCCTTTCGGCCCTTCTACGATCCTTCCACACAGGTAGGAGCAGGGGAAGGGGGTTGTTCTGGTGCCTCTGCCCACCCACCATGAGTTGGAGATGATGGAGCCAGCTCACCCAGGCTCAGCCTGCCCTTCATGGGCCACCCAGGCCACACGACTTGCAGACCCCACCCCCAATTCTGAATGTTTCCAGAATGTGAGGCACTGAGTAAGCCAGGGTCTAAGGCCTGCCATCCAGACAGGTGGCAGGGCAGGGGGCCCCGCACAGGACCAGCTGGGCCTCACCCTTCCTCTCCCCTGCAGCGCTGCCTCCGAGACATATTGGATGGATTCTTCCCCTCAGAGCTCCAGCGACTATACCCTGATGGGGTCCCCTTTAAGGTGATAAGCTGCTTCTCAAACCACCCCTTTGGGAATTTTGGAGGGAGTGAGGATAAACAGCCTCCTCAGGCATCACCTGTTCTGAGGGGGGAGCCACTGCCTCACCTGAGACCCATCTAATGTGCTCCAGGAAGTGGGGAGGCTGCCAGGGCCACAGTGGCCTGTTGCGACAGCACAGTGGCATGGGCCAAGGCTGAGCAGCAGGCAGCGCCCTCTGCTGGCACGTGGAGGCATAGCCTCGGCCACGGGGCCACTGCCCTTCTGATCCTCCCCCAGCATTCGGAACATCTTGACAGCCTGGGGTCCTTGCAGAAGTGGCCTCTTCCCCAGTGGCTTCTGAAGCTGGTTGGGGTGGAAGGCAGTGCCATGGGCCACAAATGCAGAATAAAGAGGGCAAATGTTGGGACTCAAGGTCACGAGGTGGAGCCAACCCATGGGCAGGGCAGCCATGGGAGCTCATGAGGCCATGTGTCCCAGAGGGTGGTAAGTTCCACAGCCAGGGCGTGACAGGGAGGGAGTTGTGCCACCAGGGCTCAGTGAATACTGTGAGTCATGGCTGAGGGTGTTTGAGGCATTCATGTGGAGATGGGCCTCAGCTGTGTCTTGATGGGGCAAGTGAGGTGACACATGCAATGAGGGGGTCTGCACTGCAGACTGGACAACAGCAGGGGCTTTGCTCTCCCCAACCCCCTCATGCCTTCCTCTCACAGTCGGCTCCTGAAAGGGGGTCTCTGAGGAGGGCGTCAGTACTGCAGCTTCAGCTGGGGCCTCTGCTTGGGCAAGGAGGGCTGGAGGTGGGGCCCAGAGCTGAAGAGCTGGGCCCGCCACTGTCGCCCTTCCTTCTTGCCAGGTGAGTGACCTGCGCAATCAGGTCTACCTGGAGGATGGACTGGACCCGTTCCCAGGCGAAGGCCGCGTGGTGGGCTGGCAGAGGATGCACAAGGTCTTGAACAGGGTGGAGGAGCACCCAGGTGAGCTTGGCCTTGAGGCTGAGCCAGGTGGCTGGGGAGCTATGCAGAACAAGGTCCAGGTGGCTACCACCACTCGTAGTCCTTCTCGGGCCAAGGTTCCCATTGCCCTCCCTGCAGGCTCCAGAATGACAGCTGAGAAATTTCTGAACAGGCTCCCCAAGTTTGTGATCCGGCAAGGTGAGGTGGTCGACATCCGGGGCCCCATCCGGGACACGTTGCAGGTGAGGCCAGCCTTAACTCCCCCAGCCCTCTTGGGGGAACTTTACCACCAACCCTGGTCCAGCCTGGCGGGGCAGTGTCTTGTCTGGAGGCTCAGGCTTGGGGCCCCTGGTGACGGCCTGGATGGAAAGATGAATCCCTCAGAGCTGTTCCTCTGGCTTCTGGAAACTGTGGAGTTGGTGAGGGCTCTGGGCTGGGTCCCAGAGAGCAGCTGGGCTGGTTGTAGGAGGGCTAAAGTCAGAGTCTAGGCCGGGGGTGAGCCCAGGGCCCTTGTCACCCTCCCAAGGTCTGGGCCGACACATCCAGTTCAGTTGTGGGTGCCCCCTCCTGGTTGGCCCTCAGGCTCCTCACACTCCACTGACCCTCACAGAACTCATCGTCTCTCTCCTTACTCCCCACCCTGCTTCTGCGAGGTCTTCACCTGTGAAAAGTGCCCAACCTTAGCTTCTCAGGCCTTCTTTGCCTCCCTCACCCACACATGGTGAAGGCCTGTCTGGTCTGTCCATCCCCAGGACTTCTCCCCATATCCGCTGCCCACCACCCTAGTTGAGGCTTCAGAGCATCTCTCCCAGGCAGCGGCTTCCCACCCCTGCCAACCATCCTCCCTAGCCTCCTTCCCTGTTGACATCCTCCAAGCCGGGTGTGGTGGCTCACGCCTGTAATCCCAGCACTTTGGGAGTCAGTGGCAAGAGGATTACCTGAGCCCAGGGATTCAAGCCTGGGCAACTTGGTGAGCCCTCATCTCTACAATAAATAAAAAAATTAGCTAAGCATGGTGCCACACTCCTATGGTTCCAGCTACTTGGAAGGCTGAGGCAGGATCACCTGAGCCCAGCAGGTAGAGGCTACGGTGGCCATGAGCATGCCACTGCACTCCAGGCTGGGTGACAGACTCCAACTCAAAACAAAACAAAACAAAACACAACAATCCTCCAGTGGTTCTTGGGATAAAGCTAAGTTCCTTATCCCGGCACTCAAGGCCTGTCCTACACTGCTGGGCCCTTCCCCACCTGTCTAGCCTTTTCTTCTAGACCAACCTGATCCCCAGCATCAGCCATGCAAACTGCTGACAGTTCCTAAATGTATCACCTCCTCTAAGAAGCCTTCTCTGATCTCAGGATTTTTGTCCATGCTGTCTGGATTATCTCTGCACCCATTCCCTTTATTTTTTACAAAGCAGGATTTATTAAGAGGACAGAAATGCTCCCACAGTGGGAGGGGATCCAGAGGGGTTGCCCCCATTCCCTTTCTAAGGACTCCTCCGGCTCATCCTTCAGTCACAGCTCTGTTGACATTTCTTAAGGAAGGGAAGGCTGGGTTATGCATCCAACCTGGTCATCATCTGTGTGGGTTCTGTCTCAGACTGGGGGGGGAGACTTCTTGGGGGGAATGATGGGATTGCCTCTCGGAGTCTCCTTTCCCTTTGTTGCCTCTTCTTGGGGGGATGACCCAGGCAGGGCCCAAGGCTCTGTGCACTCTCCATTGATACCTTCCAGAACTGCTGCCCATTGCCTGTCCGAATCCAGGAGATCGTGGTAGAGACGCCTACCTTGCTTGCAGAGCGGAGGAGGTGAGCACAGGGAAAGAGGTGAGGGCCTGGGAGGTTAGGCCCCTGGGAGTGCTGATGGCCTCTGGGCTGTGCAGGAGCCAGGAGTCACCCAACATGCCTGCACCCCCACTCTCCATGCTGCGCATCAAGTCTGAGAATGGGGAGCAGGCCTTTCTACTGACGATGCGGCCTGAGGACACCATCGGGGATGTGCGAGCCCTGCTGGCGCAGGCCAGGTGGGCACAAGGCAGGGCCTGGGGCCACAGAGGAGCTCTGGCCCCACTGCCTGGCCTTATCTGCTCTGCACGGTCCCCAGGGCCGTGGATGCCTCTGCTTTTGAGATCTTCAGCACGTTTCCGTCCACCGTCTACCACAATGATGCGCTCACGCTGCAGGCCGCAGGCCTAGTGCCCAGTGCAGCGTTGCTGTTGCGTGCGCGCCGTACCCCAAAGTCCAGCCTCAGCTTGGGTCCAGGTCCTGGCCTTGGCCCCAGCTCCCAATAAAGCGCCTGCCCCCCCCACACTGACTACTCTGCAAGCCTTTCACGGCAGGGCGTCTGTTGGGCAACAAGGAAAAGCTGGGGACCAGCTGGGCCAGCAAGGAGGCGGTGCTGACCCGCCCCTTGGTAACTTGAGCCCCAGCTGGCGGGCCTGGCTGCTGGGTCTTTGTCCTCTACGCCCCTCTTTTCCCAAGAAGGGCTAAGTGGATCCTGTGAAGGGAGGGATGCAGTGAGGGGCCGAGGGGCCCCGGCTGGGTTTATATTCTCAGCCTCAGGCGGGAGCAGAGCCTCACCATTGCAAGCGTGCAGTCAGTGGATACCTGTGCATAGACATGCACAGATCCACCAGTTCTTGGGGACGTTTCCTCAACACTCTGCACAAAGCCACTGTCACAGCTACACCCATGTCCCCAAGCTGGCAGAACTGCACCCACGCTCATGACCCACCCATACTTAGCCAGTCTGCTCCAGCACAGGTAGGCAGGCACATGGGATGGCCTCACTCACAGGCATGCAAATGTACTGTACACACCAAGGCACAACAGTGATGAGGACACCACATGCATGTGAACTGGAGGCGCCCACCCAGCCTGTTTCCAGAAACCACTGACACGCAGGTATGTGTGTGCCAGACAGAGCCAAACACATGCACTAACACACAGGAAACAGTCACATGAGGACAGCACAGCCAACCTGCTCACAGAGCATGATCTCAGCACAATCACAATTACTAACCTGATCAGGACAGGGGCCCAGGGTGTCTAGGCCACAACCAAACAGACACGGTGCCAGTGGAAAAGGGCATTTAATTGTCTCTAGGGTGCTCCTGGGAGGGGGACTGTGGGGCCTTTGGCAGAGCTCTGGCTAATGGAACCAACAGAGGTGCCCATCAGCCAGCGCCAGGCAGGGTGGCAACCCCAAGACCTGGCTGGGGCAGCCAACATTTGGAGCTGTTGCTTAAGACAATTTCTGCAACTGGTCAGTAAGGAATGTTGCCTTTGAATAGAGGAGAGGGAGCTACAGTTAGAGGGGGCAGGAGAGGGGCCTGGGCTGGGGTAGGGACTCCAAGGTCAGAAGGTTAGGAATGACAGGGAGTTGGTCATAAGGTCCTTCATGGCCGGGGGAGAGGGGAGTGTGGTGGTGGAGTCAAGTGGGAGAACCGTGGGCTGGCTCGATTCAGGCCAGCTTCAGGAACTCCTGCAGCGTGTTTTGCTCCACAGCTTCCACGAAGAGCTCATAGTCCTGGGGGCGGGGAGGTGAGGGTGGTCACTTGAGTGCAGATGCCGGAGGCCAAGGTGCTTTGTCTGACCCTGGGTGGAGTCCTCCAACACTCCCCCACCCCCAGTGCCCCAGCACATACCCCACAGTACTGGTCTCCGTTGACAATCTGGGGTGGGGTGGCCTTGGGGTTGCCCGCCAAGGCTCGCATCTCATCCCGCAGGGCGTTGTCCTGGGAGATGTCCACTAGTTGGTACTGGATGCGCTTCCCATCCAGGATGCGGGTCACCTCGCTCTGCTGTGACTTGATCTGGGGGCAGAGGGTGGGCAAGCAGGAGGAGGATTTATGGGGGAACCCTGGGCAGAATGAAAGAGGCTGTGACCAGGATCTTTTTGTCCTGTCCCCCTCCACACTTGGGGAGGGTTCTGGTCACTAGGAGTTGGGAGGAGGAGTCAGGCATGAGGTGGTGCAGGATGAAGAGAGGGACCATCAACTGGGGAGGGGTCAGAAGAAAGGGAAGTGGGACGAAGTTCCGGGTGGGGAGGGCCAGGACCTCAGCAAGGAGAAGGCGGGGCAGGCCTCCCCAACAGCCGCTCCCAGTCACACGGGAGGAGAGTAAAAGCGGGATCCAGCCAGGGTCCGGGTCAGCCTGGTAGTGGGGGTGCAGAGAATGGGTTTCGGAGTGATGGGGGATGGGCGCGGGCAATTCATGCTGGGGTTGCTGAGGACCCAGAATGCCCGCCGAAGACGCTCGGGATGGGGCCCCGGGACTCGGATGCAGGAGGCCTCGTCCGGCGCCTCGCGGCCTCCCCCCGAGCCCGTCCTGGGGGCGGGTCCCGGCCGCCGGGCTCCGGCGCGCCGGGACACGGCCCCGCGCTCTCCCGCAGCGTCAGCCCGGGCGCGCACTTACTTCGCGGGAGCCGGTGACCGACGTGCTGTAGACGCGCAGGCCGCTCATGCTGCGGGCAGACGGGCGTGCCGACGGACGGAGGGGCGGCGGTGGCGGCAGCTGCACTGCCGGGAGACGACGCCGCCGCCGCGCTCGGGAGCGGTTTCCTTCCTGCTCCGCCCGCGAGTCACCGCTCTCGGGGCCAATGGGCGGCACGGGCGGGAGGGGCGGGGCCTGCGCGACACCGCCCCGCACGCCAGAGGCCCCCTCCCTTCCCCCTCTGTGGCCAGGCGCGGGGCGCCCGTCCCACGCAGGGCCGCCCCTTCTGCAGCTGCACCGCCCCACCCCCCCGCCCC